TCCCCAACATTCTGTGATTCTGTGATTAACCCAACACATAAAACTCTTCCAGCTTCCATCACACCTGCTGAAATGAGTGGAGAGCAGCACCATTTCAGAGATGTGAATGGCTCTGTATCCTGCCTCCACTATTCTGGAGCTGTAAGAAACCAATGAAGGATCTATTGAGCCTGTTGAATTGGCACTGATGGAAAAAGAACTAAAGATAGCAAATTGCTACGAAAAGCTACCGAAACATGTTTTTTAGAAATTCTGGTTATGGTAGTCAGTAATCCTGAGAAACTCATGGGAGACATTAAGGAGTATGTTAACTCTGCTTGTCTTTTCTGAAAAAAGATTGTTACAAGCAGCATGAGAAACAGCAAAAAAAGGAACTGAAGTGATGCCAATTATAGTGAAGTAGTAACTGTGGCCATCAGCAGCAAGTTCTATCCAAAGCTGAATTGAACTATGGAACATTTTTCAATATTAAACAGCTGCTTCACCAAAAACACTGACAAGAATCTGCCTTTGAAAAAAAAAAAAAATCCCAGTTCACATTTTTGCTTTCTGGTACAATAGACCAGGGCTTGGTGGAGGCTCCTGGAGGGCAAGGGAGCCAGAAGCCAGAAGGACAGGAGCCTTGCCAGCTGAGACCATCCCACAACACCTGAGTGGGGCAGGCAGGACAGTTCTGGCACAACAACCAACAAGAGGAGAAGTTAAAATCTCCAGGTGTGGCTGCTCAAGGCCATTGAAGCCTTTTGGTGCACTCAGGGCCCTGACACAAAGTTTTGCAATGAAAACTTTTAGTCCCCTGCCTTCCAGATGAAAATCTGCTTCTTCTTTGGGAGCACTTCAGGAAAAATAATCCATTTTTTACTTGATTTGTGTTGGCTACTTATCATGAGGTTTCCCCTCCATGTATTTCCTCCAAAGCCAGAAATTAGATTACAGAGTTTCTAGGGAGAGCTGGGGAGGGTGCTGGGTTTATTTTCATCAACACAAACTGTACAGCTACTTGGCTACACAAAGATACACGCTGTCCTGGCAATAGCATCTTCCTCACCAGATCTGAAAATAAGAAAACACCAGTGTCGACAGAAAATTCTTCAACAGACAGAATGAGGTTTCCACCCCTCCCCTCCAGCCCCGGAGCTGGGAGTACGGTCATCTGCAATGTCTGTAGTTCTGGCAAAAGGCCTTTTTTGCTCTTTGCGTTGGGTACTGCCAAGGAGTGGAAATGGAGCAGAAGAGCACACAATATGCACATTAAACTTTTGCTTGTGGTGGATACGTTTGATGCTCCACCACAGAGGGTGGAAGCACATCATGAGCAGCATCCACTCATGAGAAACAATGCAAAGAGAATTAATTGTATTTTTCTCACTGTGGTGTCCCATCCCGTGAGCTTTCCCAGACAGATTGCCAAGACTGTTTGTGGTTTACCTTCCCTGCAGGTTGGATGCACGCTGGCTACCCAGTCATGCATCACTTGGAGTCAGTGGCGGAGATGACAGACGTGCAGTCCCTCCAAGCCAATGGCCTTTGGGGTGCCATTCATGAGCTGGGCCACAATCAGCAGCGATCTGAATGGGAGTTTCCCCCTCACACCACCGAAGCCACCTGCAATCTCTGGTCTGTATATGTAAATGAGACCGTGTTGGACATCCCCAGAGATAAGGCCCACGATGCGCTTGCACTAGACCAGAGAAAGCAGAGGATTCAAGATTACATGGAAAATGGAGCACAGCTGAAGGACTGGGAAGTATTTACTGCCCTGGAGACTTACCTGCAGGTAATCTGCAGGCAAATTAAGCTTTGCAATGGATTTACAAACTGCTCATTTTAATCCAAGGCTGCTTCTTTCCTTTCCCTCACTTGCTGCAACCACTTGATCCCTACCCTGGATCATCTCTCTCTGTTGACTATTAGTCTTCAACAGTGTCTTTGTGTGGCAGCTCATAGGATTCCACAAACCAACATGGGTCAGTCCTGATCTGTCTCTGAGTAGCACACTTCAGCTGGAGACCCAGGGCTACAAGGAAAATGTTTTGAAGCGTTCCTCAAAAAATGTATTTGTTTTAAGTAATTTGTGATCTCAGCACAGTGTAAGGGTCATTGGTCTGTGGAATGTATGAGTTTGGGATGTAGTGGTAAACCACAGCCTTTGGGCATTACCAAATCTGATCATTGCAAATTGTTTCTTTTTCCTTTTTTCTTTTTATTTCCTCCTTTAAAAAAAAAACAAAACCAACCTAAAGCCAGTCTTTCAGTTTCACTGATGCAATACTTCATTCTATAACACCCAGAATTAAATATCAGTACAAACATCAAGTGCAGAGTCACCAAGGAGGGATCCCATGTTTTGTGCTGAGGGAGTCTTATGTATTACAAGGATGCAGAGATATTAGAAGTGTGCATACTTATAAGCATGCAGAGGTGGGTTGATATTTGTATCAATCTTTTTTTGAATGTTTGTGAAACTTGTGAAAAAAAAAACAACCAAAAAACCAAAAAAAAGTAACAATCAGGCCAGGAAGCACAGCAAGGCTTTTCAGGATGAAAAGCACTTATATCAGTACTTGATTTTTGGGTTTGTGTGACTATTAGGAATATAGGCTTGTTGAATAGTCACATGGTGTTAAGGGGCTACTCTGATTCTTCAGTAGGCATTTGGAATTTGTGAGGCAGCAACACGTCTGAAAAAGAAAGGAAAATACCAAGTGAAAAGCTCAGGAACTACATTCAGTAAGAGATTTTGTAAAGAATGCAGGTAGAGTAAATCTCTACTTCTATACATAGATTTTGTACTGTTTCTCTTGTCTTCTGATCCATAGCTGCAAGAGGCCTTTGGATGGGAAGCCTTCATTGAAATCTTTTCTGAATACCAAAAGATGTCCGAGCTCCCAGATGACAACGATTCAAAAATGAATCTGTGGGCAGAAACCTTTTCTCATCTGGTGAAGAAGAATTTGAGTCCTTTCTTTAAGGCCTGGGGGTGGCCAATCGAGGAGAGCCTTTCCCAGCAACTGGCTGATTCTTTCCCCAGTTGGTCAGATGATCCAATGAAGCAATATATCTCCTAAGCAGGTTTTTGGTCATGAAAATGAAAACAGGATTGCCTGTGATAAAGCCAGTGCTCTGCAAGAGTTTCAAATGGTGTGTGAAGGGTGTGGAATGAGAGTGAATCTGAGAAGCATCTCTGCTTTGTACATATGATAGAGGAGCCGGTTCTCGGATCCCTCCTGAGGCTGCCTTTGTGTGTTAGGGTCCCACTACTTCCCCTCCCAACAGAAGTCATTTTAACCACAGAAGGGGAAATACTTGCTGTCTTCAGACCTCTGAAAAATCCTACCACTTCCCATTTTTTGCTTCCTCCGTTTCCTTATCTCTACCAGGTTCTCTGTTCCAGAGTTACTCTTGTTACAGATGTGCAAAGTTCATTAATTAAGATCCTTAGGAGAAGAGTAGGAACAGGGGAAAAGTCACTTGAAAAACAGAGAGGAGAGAATAAAGCTGGAAATAAATGGAAGAACTAAGGTGAAATTATGGCTACAGCCACGAGAAACAAGAATGATCATTCAAGGAAGATCTTGATGGCCAGCACAGGACAGGCCTTAATCCTTGTTGAATGTTCCAAAAGGGTTTGTCTTCTTCAGTGCTGCACCTGAATTTCCCCAATGTTAAAAGACGAGCAAGAGCACAAGCCAATTCTTATGGTGCGTTTTGAGATCCTGAGCCAAGCAATTGCTTCTCTTGGGGCTGTGGATTCTTTTTCTAGTGAATGTTACAGAATTCTCGACCTTCCTGTTAAGGCCACTGACACGCACCACAGGGAGCAGCAGGGACATAGTCAGAGGCTCTGCAGCTCCTCCAGATCTCATGGGCCATAGCTGAGCAGATTCTTCAGCAAAAGAGCTGGCAAGTAAGGGATACAAGGATCAATCATTCCTTTTCACTGTGCCCATATAAATGTGCGTCAAACCTATGAATAATCCCAAGTCAATGAAGTGACCTGCACTAACAATACTGCAAATTGTTACATGCACATCCAGCAGCACAGGTTATCCAGAAAGATGCCACAAATCCCTCAACCATCCTGAACTTGAAAAATCTTTATTCTTTACTTTGAAGACAAGGTTCCAATGTTACTACTTTTTCTTCCGGCAAAGTCCTGCAACTCCAGTTCTGTTCTGCAGACTGTAAGCTGAGACAGAGCTGAAGACTTTATGATTTGGTTCTCAGGAATTAAAACCAAACAGTACATGATGATCTCCTCAACATCCAACATTTGAGAAATTTCCACAAAGCTAGTTTTAAATATCCCAGAAAACTGAACTTTCTCCCTTTTCTACAGTAGAGGATATGCTTCCAAAGTGGGTACTTTGGACACTGCTGTTTCATGATTCTCTAGAACCTCTTTTTCCTTCTGGTGTTTTGTGGTGATTTCAATCAAAGTTCCTATTTGTTTGTGTGCACCATGATACCAGCCAAGCATGAAGAATTGTACTAGGCACAAATTTCATTTCTCATTTTCATAATTATTTCATCCTAATAAATCTTGCTGATGCCACAAATACCTGCGCATTGTTGGTACTGAGTGTATGAATATGTCTGAAAAGAATCAGAAGTCTCTGAAGACTCTAGTATGGGAAATGGGATGACATTTTTAAGTGTACAAGTGTTTTCAGCTCATCATCCAGAGTTTCTTTGCTAAGCTGAGAGCTTATTGATGGGAAATGGCAGAGAGTAAAAAATCTGGGCATATTCATGGATCACAGAACATCTTAAGATACAGTGAAACTGAAGAACCATAGCCTAGAAGTCAGTTGCTTCTTTTATGAAAGCCAGTGCGGGGTCTGAAGCTTGGTGTGCTTGATGTGCTTGATGTGCTTGCAGTAGCCAGGGCTGAGAAGACGTGCTGCAGTTTTCTGCCTCTGCCACGGTCTCCTAAGAGCTGCAGACTTCTTCCCTGGCTAAGCTGCACTGCTGTAGTGCCTCTGAGTGGTGGTGAGGACAAGAACAATTGGGTTGGAGTTTGCTAGCTTAGGCCTGAGACTGCCCACCAGCTACAAACAGGTACATTTATAGAAGGTCTCAATTCTGCAAAGCAACCACCAGTGAGCGTAATTTCCTGAAATGAATCATCCAGGTTATCATGGGTTTCCTCGGTGAACCCCAGTTTCTGCGAAGTAGTGGTTAAACAGGAAAGCTGTGAGAGCAGCAAGTGGTGAGGAAGAGCAAAGGTGTCAATAGTAACTTGCACGGACAAGAAATAGATTTCTGTTTCTTTCTTTTTGACTTTTCAGGCCTTTCTGATGGGCAGAAAGTGACTGGCTTTTGTTTTTTTAGGTCTACCCCATGTAAACGCCACACCCCACCATGGCATAATGTCATCAGACAAACATAAAGGGGGCAGATCTGCTTTCTTCTCTCCTCCAGGAACAAAAGGGCAAAGTGCATGTGGCCCAGAAATCACTGGTTGGCACAAGTTCCCAAAGGAAGAACGGGGCTGTTCCTTTATTAACCCTTCCTTTTGCAGGAACCAAACCAGCAGATGCACGGTCAAGACTGCAGATGGTGAAACTGGCTGTATGTGCACGAGCGGGCATGATAAGGCTGACGCTGAGTTCCTCTGTTCTGTCTTCTTCTTTCTCTTCTCCTGACAGTGCTGCTGCATGAAGTTCCTGGCTTTCAGTGCTTGCTTTGCAATGACCATCACCCGAGAAATGGCACAGAAGGTGAAGTGATTGTACATGTCCCTACTTTAGTGGGTGTTGGTTCTTTTTGTTCTCTAAGCTTCGGCCACCACATTGCATCAGAAGTCGTTCAACTTTCCTACTGAGCAACGACCAGCGTGTAGTTCTCTCTGCACTAGAAGAGCTGGGTGCCAGCAGCACCCCGTGTTCCTGGGACTCAACGGAGAGCAAAGCGACTGTTCATCAGAGACGATGAGCCCTGAAGGGAGCCCCAGTCGAGGGACTGCAGGTGATGGAGGGGATTGCCTCTACTGTGGTGTCTAGGCAGGGTGGGAACAAGGAGGGATGAGGGTCCTGAAAAGGGTGGTGGGAGACTGCACAGGTGTCCACTCCCTTGAGCTTCTGAGCAATGCTGTGAGCAGTAGCCAAGTCCCACATCCCACCTCACTGGAACTAGGGCTGGTGGTTATCAGGAGTGCAAGGGACCCTCCCTGAGCAACCAACATGGACTGTGACTAGCATGGGAAAGAAGAGCACGAGGGAGGGGAGAGAAGGGAGCCAGGGTGTGAAGGGTTGGACAAGTACTGAGGGGAAAGGTGGAAGAAGAGGAGGTCCAGCAAAGCAGAGGCACAATGGCTTCAGTGCCCACGTATTACAAAAGGGTCTGTGGGACTCCACACCTTTCTTTCTGGACACTGTGTTGCAGGGGGGCAGCTGTCTGGTGAGCGCTGATGAGTTTCTTGGTCAGTGCCACCCTTGAGAGGTTGGTCTGTGTGGGCAGTGTGTGACTCCTGCTCTCGCCTTTGTTTTTCAGCCCCAGCAAAGAAGAGACGCCACCCACAACTTCGCTCTTGGGTCCTGCTCATATCTGCCATTGTCCTCAAAGCAAGTCTGCTGTCCATCTATCTCAGTGGGTGCTGGAATTTATTTATTTTTCCTGGAGGTGGAAGGGATTGAGGGAGAGGGGAGTGGTTGGAGAGGAAGTCGTGATTCAAGGAGCTTCAGTTGCCTTTCTGGAAACTGTCTTGACCGTGTGACAGCTGATTCAACTCCTTCCCCCTCAAACAGTTCTCGGTTGTACATGCACTCCTGGTCAGTGTGGTGGCAAGTGCATGTGGCCAGCGTGCCCCTCTGCTGCAGGGAACCTCACAGCCTGCTGCTGCTGCTGCTGCTGTGTGATAGTTGCTGGGCTGAGGAACTTAAGGAGAAGCAACACACCCTTGTGCGTGAGGGTGTAAGCTGGTCCCTGCTAGGATGGGAAGAATCTCTGCCCCACAACCTCCTTGGTGTGAGAATGGAAGGAGCCTTCATTACATACACAGGCTATGGCCCTAGTCTCCACGTGAGGAAGAACCTTTGCTGCACAACTGCTCCTCTGCTCCTTTGTGTGGCTTCAGGAGCTGCAGTGCCTACTGACCCCACCTGTGATTTCTGGGCCACACAAACTGCAATTTTGCTTTTCCCCATTTTCAGTGCAGAGTGTTCCTCTCAATAAAAACATCATCTACACCTTGCTGATGCTGTACAGCATTGCTGAAGGCACAAGACATCCAAACCCTGAGTCCCATCCTGGTCATCTACGCGGCAATGTTTTAAAGCTGTGTCCTACCAGCAGCCCCCAGAGCACTAGTTTGTACCTTTCACTGTGTCTTCATTCAGCAGTGCCTCATCACTGCCCCTCCACAGCCATGCTGAAACAAAACAGGGTCCTCCTAAACACCAAGAAAGACCTTTTTACTGTGAGGGTGACCAAGCACTTGTGGAGGTTGCCCAGAGAGGCTGTGGCTGTCCATCCTTGGAAATACTTGAAAGCCATCAGGACATGATCCTGAGCAACA